TATATCTAAATATCATAAAGAACATCCATATAAATCATAACTCAAGATTTTAGATCAAAAAACGATACCTCAGGTTAGTACAGTACAACCGATGTACCACAATATGCAACTAAGTTTTAATATGGTATGACCGACGCACGCCTAAACCTGGATATGGTAGTTGACAAACTAAACACTTGAGGATTTATGGATCGATAACCTAGTTCGATTAGTCGATATTCTTAGATTGGAGGCTTAGATCAAGACCTACTGCTTGAGGATTCGACACCTAGCTTGAATACGCTTTTGAGGATGCCTGGATTGATGTTCTAGAGTTATGTTTCCGACATACCCATGTAGAGTGTCATAAGAGACCCGATATTATCTATTAAATAATTATAATTGAATATTATATGTATTTGTTGATTCTTATGCTACATCTCATAAACATCTATCATGTTTGATGTCTTATGCATGTTCGCTAGAGCTAGATGGCCGACATGGGTATATGGATGGTACTTCCCTTACCGGAGGAAGATCAGGTAGTACCTCACACGCCGGAGCCAGAAGACCATTACGATTCATGGATGCCAGTGCCACCTTCACCTATATGTGTAGAGAAGAGGCCCGATGAGGATGAGGAGCCATTTGAGGATGAGGAACCCATCGAAGAGGAGGAGTCACTTGAGGAAGCGAATAACGAGGATCCAGTTGATAGTTCTCCATATCCGGATTCATCATCCAGTGATGACCCCGCATATCATGCTGAGGCGGAGGTTCAGGTTGAGGATGATACCATCAGGGAGAGTGATTAAGAGCCTTTACAACCAGTAGAGGTTCTATCATCCACACCATCACCTTCTCACCAATTATTCAGACTTCGTATCACAGGTCCATTCTGAAAGAATGCCCCTAGGAAATCCATTCACATACCTACATAAAAGAGAGCATCATCACCTCTATTATCACTAAGAGCCTAAAAAAGGCCATGACCCAACCATAGATGGACTCCTCAAGTTGATGAGTGGATTGGGTAGGATAATATTGGAGTCTATGAGGTAGGTGAATCATCTCAACCTCCATTACGAGATCCCATCCCAGAGTCTTCAACCGATAGGGCTATATCTATTTTAGTTCCACCGGCAGTTCGACATGCAGATAGGATACATCGTACGGAGGACGGTTACTTTAGAGGTGATGATTGATTATCTTCATTTCCAGGTGGCACAATTAGTTGCATTGGTGGTGGTTTACTTTGGGATTTGGTAGTTAGCTCTAGCGATGGATGCTAAAAGCTGTATTTTTAGGTTTGAAGGACGGAAAAGCTGTAAGCAGACAATAGTATGTTGTTATATCTTTTGTATGTAAAATCTATGCTTTTCCTATTCAAACCACTATTTTTGCTTGATTTTGAAAAATCATGTTGGATAAAGTTGAACTTGTAATCAAACTTATGTAAATATATGAAAAATATGTGTTTCATGAATGAATATCTTGCATTGTGAAATGATAGCGTGCGACATAACAAACTTACTTGATTGGTATTTTTTTGCGACGCTCAAATTTTTCGACTCTCGCGAAATAACCCAATCATCGACATATAAATATATAATAAGGATTCTAATATCTAACCTTAACGTTAATATAGAATCATGCCACGTACGAGAGCCAACTGAAACCAACTAGTCCCCAAAATAACCTAGACCCTAACTTATGGACCCATCAGTTGTGGAAGCGCTAGTATCCCAAAGAGTCGTTGCTGCTATGGCTAATTATGAAAATCAATAGGAATATGGGATCAGGAGGTGGAATTGGATGAGAAATTTCCCAAGGATACAACCGAGGTCCACCTACGGCCTGTATATATAAGGAATTTATGAATCGCAAGCCGAAATCCTCTTACGGGAACAAAGGTGTAGTCGGTTTACCTGGTGGATAGAGAAAATGGAGTTCGTCTTTGAGATTAGTTTTTGCGCAAATGACTGCAAAGTAAAGTTTGCTACCTGCACCCTGGCACATGCAACCCTAACGTGGTGGAATAGTTATGCGAAGATTATGGGTGTTAGCAATGCTAATGTCATGTCTTGGAGAAAACTGAAGCAACTCATGATAGAGGAGTATTGTCCACGCAAGGAGATGGAGAAGCTGGAACAAGAACTATGAAATTGGAGATGAAAGAAGCCGATGTGGTTGCCTATATGAGCCATTTTAATGATCTAGATACTTGTGTCCTGGAATGGTCACTTCAAAATACAAGAAGGTAGAGAGATACATTTGGGGATTATCCCAACCCATTCAAGGATTAGTTACCACCTCTAAGCCGACCACCTATGATAGTGCCAAAAGGTTGGCCTTCAGCCTGACGAACCAAGAGATACGTCGTGACACCATGGTCCAAAAGGCTAATCTCCCAAAGGCGGGGAGTAAGAAGAGGAAATTTGGAAGGGATTCCAAGGGAAGGGCTAGGCAGCCATCAGAAAAGAAGCGTGAAACGGTATAGGCGTATGCAGTTACAATAGTAACAATCGAGACTACCACCCCGAGATAGTATACATGGGGCAGTCCAAAGTGTAATCAATGCAGTTATCATCATACTGATGCTTGTTGGATTTGTAGAATTGTGGCAAAAATAGCCACCTTGTTCGGAAGTGTAGGTTCCTAAACCCTACACCAAACACCGGTGAAGAATCAAGGAGTCGCAACAGCAACAGGAAACAAATCTTGTATAGATGTGGAAAGATTGGGCATTACAAGAGGGACTGCCCAAAGTTAAATGGAAAAGAGGGAAATGCCAAAGGAAAGGCATTTATAATAGGATCAAAGGATGCCGTCTGTGACCCAACAGTGATCACTGGTACGTACTTAATTAACATTCTATATACAAACGTACTTTTTGATTTTGATACCAATAGAAGCTATATTACCCCTGAGTTTAGTAAACAACCTAAACGGGAACACCTTTAAAGTAGTCAAAGTATGAAAATGATAAGAAAAGGGATAAAAATCTATAAAATGAAAAGTATAGGATAAGTACAAAATGACTAATTATCCTAAGAAAATAAGATATAAAGAATATAAATCTTTTAAAAAAAGAAATGACAAAACTATTATAAAAGTATAAAACCAAAAAAGACCGTGAACTCACCAACATTACATTGACATTTTTAAAACTCATGTATTCTCAGGGGAATGAGTATCAGAGTTAGTGGAGTGTTGAAGTAAGTCAACAAGTGGCTCAAGGAAGTCTTATTTGTTTAGTTTATGAAATAGGAAGTATGTTTGGCTATCAAACAATGTAAACCCTTATTATTAATAATAAATAAAAGAAATGTTTGTGTGATATTTGTGTGTATTGTTCAATATACTTGCCTGAAGATCCAACGTTCTAACGTCGTACGGCCCGACGATTTCGCCGCCGGCCGAGGGTGTGACATTGAATCTAAACTATAGGTTTGACCATGGTGAAGTGTATTGATATGTTTAACGAGGCTTGAGTAAAGGCTTAATATAGATCAAGGTAAAATTCGGGTAGAGAAGGTTGATTTGATTCATACTTATGATCGACCCAAACATCGATCATGTGGACAAATGGAAACATAGTCACCAACCTTATTAGGTTATGAGCTATATTAATTGGAATATTTAAAATAAAATTTTCATATAAATATAATAATTAATACTCCATAATTTAAATAAAATATAATGAAATAAACCATTCATACATCTCTTCAATTCTTTACTAAGGAACCCTTAATGCATTCTACACAACATACAAATTGAGGGAATATAAGAAAATGAACAAGAAAAAGTGAATTTTGGGCATTAACTTTTTATTTATTTATTTATAACGTTAATGAGACGTCCTTTTCGATAGGTGTTGTACCTCGTAGGTGTTTATTAGCGGAAGGAGACAGGTCGGCTGCGCCGGCGGGCATCTGTTGGAAATGAAGATTGCTTTCGTGTTCCCGTGTGTCCCGTTGTCCCCTCTCCGTCCCATTACGCCGCCGGCAGACCAAGCAGAATCTCTTATGATGTTATACTTTTAAGCTCAACCCCTATATTTTTTTATCATATTCGCTTTTACAACCCATAATTAGAGACGAATTAAAAAGACCCAAAAAAACCCATATATTTTTTTATCATATTCGCTTTTACCCATTTAACTTCCTATATGTAATTAGAGACGAATTAAAAAGACCCAAAAAAACCCATAATAATTTTATTGTTTAACTATCTTTCAAATATTTAATGCGTAATGAATTATATTTATATTGTTATTTATTCATTAAATTCCAAAATTATCATTTTATATAATATTATCTACCATTATAAGTAAAATATACACAAGACGATACAAAATTACAAATTAGAATGAATCAATAAAATGTTAAAAGTATCTAATTTTCTACATTAAATCTTTATGTCAAATGGTATAATATGAACATACACCAAATATATTTAAAAAATGCTAGTGGTTATTATTTTGATCCTACTTTGATTTTAAGAACTTACTTAACAAATTAACAAATTGAAGATGAAATGCCTTTTACAAAAAACATATTCCGTATAACGACGGAATTTATTAAATAAGAATTTAAAATCAAAGTGTGGCACTGAAGTGAAAGTAATTAAAATTAAGGGATCAAAACTGTAAATCACAATAACAATTCAAGCCGTTGGTTCGTTACTGCGGAAATAAAAAAGTAAGGGATGGTAGGGTATGTGGACATCTTTAACGCTATCCATGCAAATTGTCCAAATTACCCTCGAATGTGGAAGAATATAGGGCTAAATTGGTAAATTTCATGAGGATTTCAATGTTGAAACATGCAGAGAAAAGATCTCTGCCACTACCTTTGTACTGGGATCTTCTTTTCATTCTTTAAGGAAAAAGACAATTATACCCTGTTCTCTCTCTTTCTCTTTATATATATATATATATATATATATATATATATATATATATATATATATATACATGACTACCTCATTTCAGCTCTCTGTAAAATTATTATATTTTAATGGCGATTTCATCTTCTCCAACATATGCTCTCACTTTCTTCACCTCATTGCTCATAATTGGAATCTCCGGCGTCAACTCACAACCTTTTCTCAACTCGGTGGAGCAAGAATCGGTTTATCGTGTTCTTGAAGCACTCAACTCGGACATCCCATGGCGGTCGCTCTTTCCTGACGACCTCTGCTCCTCCGCCCCACACGGTGTCGTTTGCGGCTACAGCACCATGCCCACCGCCACCAACCCTGGCACTGTCAACATTCTTGAGCTCAGTTTCGGGTACGTTTCCGACCACAACCCTAACCCGCCTTGTGGCCCAAACTCAACCCTGCAAGACCCGTTTATATTTTCTGCTTTCCCTTACCTTCGTAAACTCTTCTTCTACAACTGTTTTACCCAACAGCCCGTTTCTTTACAAGCTTTTTCACATGTGGGGTCGTCTCTTGAAGAGCTTGTTTTCATAGAAAACCCGAGTCTTTTCGGGTCTTTGACTGAATCAATTGGTAACATGACGAGCTTAAGGAGGTTGGTTATCACCGGAACTAATGTCTCCGGTGACATTCCTGTTGGGTTTGGTACGTTACAGAATCTTGAAGAAGCTACGCTTTCCCGGAACAGATTTACTGGAACCCTACCTGAAAATGTTTCAAATCTCAAGAAACTCAGGATTCTAGATCTCAGCCAAAATGGGTTTGGAGGGAATATTCCGGCGGCCATCGGAGAGTTACAAAATCTGATAAAACTGGATTTGAGTTTGAATCTTTTTTCCGGCAACTTTCCGGTAAGCATGAAGGGGCTGAAGAACATAGAGCTTTTGGATTTGAGTTGCAACAGATTTACGAATTTCGGGATCCCTATCTTTTTATCCGAGATGAGTAAATTGAAGGAGGTGTATCTGAGTGGTAATGAATTAGGAGGGTTGATTCCAGACATTTGGAAAAATTTGAGGGGTATAATTGCAATCGGGTTTTCAGGGGTAGGGCTTGTTGGTAATATTCCATCTTCTATAGGTGTATTTTTGGGAAATTTGACATACTTAGCTCTTGACAACAACAAGCTAACAGGAAGAATTCCTTTGGAGCTTGAAAGGCTTACAATGGTTAATGAACTGAATCTGAAGAACAACAGTTTGAGTGGGAGACTTCCATTTTCTGATAAATTTGTGTCGAGAGTTGGAAGCAAGCTAAGGGTACAAGGGAATCCTGAATTGTGTGTGGATGGAGGGGTCATTAGGTCATTTCACAAAAGTAGTGGAGTTTTGGGTCAATTGAAGGTATGCAATAGCAATAGCAATAGGGTGGCTAATACCAGATCAGACATTCTGCATGTTAGTAGCTCAAGTTTTATGGGTCATCAAGTTCCATATTTAGTGATAGTGTTTCTTTTGTTTCTCATTATGTAGTGCTTGCTTACACAAAGGGGAGGGTGTTCCAACTCAATGGCAAAAATGTAATTAGCTTCTAACAAATGTACACTTTGTATCTAAATACAAGGAGATGTTTTGGGAACCTCAATATGATAGCATTTTGAAGCGTTTATATATTTGTATCAACAATAATTCTATAACTAACATTTGGTGCTTGTTGCAATTAAGATGGGTGGGATGACAAGTTTGGCTAAAAGGTATAAAATGGGTAGAATGATCTTAATCGTGATTCACAATCAGAACTCAGCAGGATTGATTTATTATAAGTAACAAAACTAACAAAAAAATATATATTAAAGCCATACTAATTAGCATCCTTACAATCGAGTGGGTTGTGGCCTTGTGGGCTCGATTCATAAACATCCTTGCCTAAACTTTTGTTGCCTCACTCCAAATCTTGTAGCAGCTTTTTGGTTTTTAGTGTACTTGTTAACAATTTATTAATATTTAATAACAAGCTGGTTAAAAAAGTAAGACCCAATAACTAGTTGTTACAAAAAGCTAATTACAACCGGTTATATGTACGATTATACAGTTAAATCAAGATGAAATTTGTGCAAGACCCGATACCGATTACAGTAGGACCAGTTAATGATTTCAGGACTGGGCTCCGAACTAGTTATAACCAAAATAGTCAACTAGATAAGAAAATTGCATGTCCCAGAAATTATATGTCAATACATCCTAAACTAAAAGAAATTTATTGATAGAATATCATATTTCATAGTGTTTAACTTTGGCAGCCGTTGAACCACTTCTTAACCTTAAAACTCTGAGAAAATGTCACTAAACTAGCACAATAAACTTTTGCTATTTTCCTAATTTGGTCTACGTTTTTTTTTCTACAATAGATCCTTAAAGTATCATTTTACTTATTGAACAAGGGAATCTTGTAAATTGCATCTGGTTTCACCGATTACATTTGGTTCGGGTGGTTCTTTTTTTTTTTTTTTTTTAATTTTCAAAATTAAGAAATCAAAATTTAGACCCGGTGGCTATTTTCAATTTTTAAAAATTAAAAAATCAAATCCTTAATATGTGTTTTCCCCCTAAATCAAAGATATCAGATCTCTCTAAGACTGTGTTTGGCGCGCCACAGTTAGCTGATAAACTAGCTTATTTTTCGAGTTTTTTTAAATTGTAATGTTTGGCAAACCAAAAAGTACCTGATAAGCTAGCTTTTCAAAAAGGTACTTTGAGTAGCTTTTTAAAAATTTCCCAAATATACCCTTAATTAATTACAAAAAACGTATTCTTCTAAATGTCATTTTATGTCATTTTATATCTTTCTGCTAGTTTATCAGCTAGTTTTTACCAAACGTTATTTTTTGTCAGCTAGCAGCTAGCTTTTCAGTTATCAGTTAGCTTTTCAGCTATCAGCTAGTTTTTCAGCTAGTCTGTCAAACATAGCCTAAATCGTGTTTGAAAGAACAGAGGAAGACGAAGAACTCCTTCTTACAAGTATGAACTCCTTCCCTACCTCAAGTTTTTCCCAATCGATCGTAGGGTCAGATCTCCAACAAATCGACTCTCCTCGGCATCCTCTTCCTCGTCTTTAACCTTCTCCTTCGGCCTCGTTCTCACATTCGGCTTCCCTGACTTTTCTTCGGAGCTTTTCATCAAAGATACCAGATCGGGAACCGCATAAGCTTCCTCATCGTCTTCTTTCTTTTCTTCTATCTTGGTACGTTTCTTCGAAGAAACCAGTGTATCGTCCTTGTAGGCAAACGACGACCTTCACTTTGCCCTTGGCATTTTCAGACGACGAGGGTGTTCTATTCATATAGACCTCCAAGTTTGATTTTTTGTTCTTCTTCTTCTTCATGTAGATAGTTAATTTCATGTTGTTCTTCTTCAACAATTTTTATACTGATTTGGATGTTCGATTTAGGTTCTTAGATTTTGCTTTTGGTGTTTGATTTTAGGAGTATAAGTGTATGAGTATCAAGGAAGCATGTGCATCTGCTGTAATTCTTGATGTGCTTCATTTTTTTGTTTGTATTCAAATCATTTGATGTTCTTGTTTTTCTGAATTTTGTTTTGGGATTAGTATTCATTTTGGTGTGTTCATTGGAGGAAGATGAATGGTGGTGGTGCTTGGAGGTGGAGATAGGGTGGGCGGTGGAAAATTATGGTAGTGGTGGTGATGGGAGGTAGGAGGTGGAAGGTGTGGGAGTTGGTTTACAAAAAGATGAATCAATGGTTGCAGGAATATGAATGTTTGATTGTTGTACACACGAACCGGTCCAAATGAGTGGTTCATTTATTTCAGTTGTGGTTGTGGATAGTGATGGTGTTTGGCGGTGGTGGGGGTGGGAGGTGCGTCCCAAAAAATAAAGACAAAGCTGACATGGATTAACAAATGTGGCTACAAAAAAAGGAGAGAGAGAGAGAGAGAGAGAGAGAGAGAGAGAGAGAGAGAGAGAGAGAGAAATTGATTATTAATGGCACATAAGCATTGTTATCGGGAAACCTTATAAATTCAAGAATAATGGTTTAATTGACAGGTCAAAAACGAGTTTAATGGTCTATTGCGCAAAAAACTAATTTTAGTGACCAAATCGAGCAAATGAATAAAGTTTAATGTGCTACAATCACATTTTGTCCAAAATTCTACCAACATAAATGTTTAGGTTGAAGTAAGGCGGTGGTGTGCTTATGTGTATGTGTTTGTATGTATGTGTGTATGTGAGAGAGTTATGATTTATTGAGATCAAAATTCATAATAAAAATAAGTTTTAAAAACCAATTGTTTATTTTTAATTTTATATTTATTTTCGAAGTGATCATCTTATTTTTCACACGGCCATGTCAAAAGTTTTTTAATTTTTAAACCTTGAAGGTTGGTCGTTTAATATTGAAACATGATCATGTCGTATATATAACAATCATGTTAGTTTTGATATAGTTATGTCATACAAATGACACAACAATGTCAATTTTGACACGATCATGTTAACTTTTCACAAATGAAAAAGTACTTACTGACACAATTTCTTGTATCTATAGTTCTATATATAAAAATGGTACGAACAAGACAAATTAAAATATGATGCTACTTTTGAAGGGACATATCCTTGTCATATACGATGTCACATCTATCATTCTCTATCATTTCCAATATCATATTAACATGGTAGATTGGTAGTAGGCCTAAGTCACTCCTTTATGACTACCCATACATGGCGACATCGCTAAACAGCGTACACAACATACTAAAATACTTCCTACTCTCTCCTTGGATTCTACTCCCTACATGTGCTGAGAAAGTTTGTGCTGACATCGTCAATCATCCAATAAATGCAGGTTGTACATAATTGAAATAAAATACACGTTCAAATAAATGTCTCTACCATAAGACCTTCATCAAACTAGAACAAACATTAAGGTTGAATCAAACATTCTATGGCTATCTAGTCTTAAGTACGTACCACCCTAATGCATTCATCACATCCAGTGTCAACATAATCTCTAAAGCACCTAATCACATAAAAGACATATAAAGACGTCTTTCCTAATAAACATTCTATCATACATCCCTAAGCAGATCTTTAGCCCTATACTATCATGCAACTCGTATAATAGCATACCAAAACATAACATTCATGTTTGAGTATTTTGGGAATTAATTACTTAAGCTCGGTTGATTGCATGTTTTGGCAACCCGATACTTTCTAGTCAACAAAAGTCAATTTCCGTTAAATAAAATTTCGAATTTTATTTGTTCCGTTAAGTTCTTGTGGGTTAGAAAATAATATAGAATATATAATTAGAGGTTATATAAGTTTTCAGAACCAAAAACACTCGAAAATCAAGATTTCCCTCGAAAAATCAGCAAACTCGTCCAACCATGCGTTTACGACCATAAACTCTTGGGCCGTAAACCCGTTTACAGCCGAGAACCCATTTCCGACCGTAAACCCAACCGGTATAAAGGTTTTTCCCGGAGAGATTCTTCATTTCTCATCTTTTTCACCCGAAAACTCTCTCAAGTTGCTCCCAAGAACCTCCCAAGAACATTCATATCCTCAAGAACAAACCTTCAAATCTTCATATTTTCACAAAGAACACCAAGAACAGCCTTCATATCTTCAAAAGCCGCAAACCCAGTTTACAACCGCAAACCCAGTTCACGGCCAAAAACCCAGTTCACGGCCGTAAACAACCTTGAGCCGAGAACGTTGGCTGAAAACCCTCTTTTTTCCACTTCAAACAAGTCTCGGTAACATTCCTAACCCAAAAGGAAGTGTTTTCTAACACTTTAATTAATGGTTTCTGTAATTAAAATACAATCATGTGTTTAATTATCATTAGGATACCGATAATTCCGCGTACTCCAACTCGAGGGTCATCTTTCCGGTTTTGCTGTCTAGCACATGCACATAATCAACTGTGAGTTCATACCCCTACACTTTTACTGTTTTTAACGTTTTCAGGGGGAATACAAGCAAAAACACAAAGAACTTTTATGTTCTTATATAAAGAATCTCAACAGAATTAAAAACTTATGCAATTGATGCAACGAGGAGATCACTACATTATATAAAATATTTAGATATTTTACCCATTTTGTAACATGCTGAGCATAAGGGAAGTTTTCAACATACAATCATAATTGCAAAGTTTTCAGTACAATACGTGAATCGAATACACAACATACATGCAAACTATAATAGGTATAGTTTGGGATTCAACACACGGTTTTTATCCATTCCAGAGTTTACACATTAACAAACATATAAACTATGATAAATATAGTTTATGGCATACAATACTATTTCCTGAACACAAGAGTACAATACTAGATAATTATTTAAGTACAATTATTTTTACTCTACAAGTATAAATATAGTTTCAAGTACAAGAGAGCACTACTACACTACATGTAAACTAGTTAATACAGGATTGTGAGGCACTACTTCAATTGTACCCTTCGAGGTGCGGAACTAAATCCTACCACAATATAACCAGAGTCT